CAGAGTATGTTGTCAAATTGTGATTTTTTTTTTGATTAGAGAGGAAATAGTATCTCAGAATAGTTTTTTATTTTCAATTTAACTGTAAGAATGTATTTAATTTATATTTTTTTTGTTAAGTTTATTGGGGTGACATTGGTTAATAAGATGATACAGGTTTGGAGTATACATTCCTGATACTAGATCTATATATGGTACTGTGTACCCACCACCTAAAGTTAAACCATCTTCTATCACTATATATTAGGGTCCTCTCCATCCTCCACCCCTCCTACTCTTTTTCCTCTGGCAACCACCATATTGTTGTCTGTGTCCATGACTTTCAGTTTTATATCTTACATTATGAGTGAAATCACATGGTTTGTAGCTTTTTCTGTCTGACTTACTTCACTTAGCATAAAATTCTCAAGGTCCATCCACGTTGTCACAAATGGCAGTACTTTATCTTTTCTAATTGCTGACAACAAAACAAAGAGGCAGCTGAGTGAATGGAGATGATATTTGCAAACAACAGCTCCAACAAAGGTTTAATATCCAAAATATATAAAGAACTCATAAAATTCAACACCAAACAATCCAATTGAAAAATAGGCAGAGGAGCTGAACAGACACCTCTCCTAAGAAGACATACAAACAGCAAAGACATGCATGAAAAGATGTTCGGCTTCACTAGCAATAGGGAAATGCAAATCAAAACTACAATGACATACCACCTCACACCTGTTAGAATGAATATTATCAAAAAGATAAGTAATAACAAGTGTTGCAGAGGTTGTGGAGAAAAGGGAACCCTTGTTCACTGCTGGTGGGAATGTAAACTGGTGCCAGTCACTATTGAAAACAGTCTAGTGGTTCCTTAGAAAACTAAGAATAGAGTTACCATATGACACAGCAACCCCTCTCTTGGGTATCTACCCGAAAAACTCAAAAACACATATTCAAAAAGGTATATATGTGTCTCTGTGTTCAGTGCAGCAGTATTCATGGTGGCTGAGACACTGTGACAACAAAAGTGTCCTTTGATAGAGGATTGGATAAAGATGTACATGTATACAATCAAAATAGTTTCTGACAGTTAATTTTTTTAAACAAATTATAACAGGTACATGCTTACTGAAAAAGAATTAAGCAGTACATTAGCACATAAAGTGAAAATGGTCCCCCAATGTTCCTCTACTGTCATTCAGTGGGTATAACACTAAGTTTGATATGACACACATAGGGACAATATATGCATATTTATATACACACATGTACATTATTAAGAATGAGAATGCATGCTGTAAGTTGTCAGGTATCTTCACTGGTGTGGAGAACAGGGTGGGTTGAGTGGTGAGATTTGTTACTGTATACCCTTCTGCATCTTTGGAATTTTATAATGTGTGGATGTGTTACTTCTTTAAAAAAATAATTTTTTAAAATTACTGAGGACAAATGTAAATGTTAGGGGTACTCAGGTACCCTAAGAATTTAGATTATTTGTGCATTGAGGACATTCTCAAGTATTTGAATTTTAAAAATTAATGGTAATTTAGCACATTTTAGGAAATATCTTTAAAATTTGTTAGTAGTACTGAGAGGTAATCTACTTTCTTGGTTTTAACACATGAACTCATTACTTGTGTCAAATACATTGTTTTCTGTTCTTTCCATGCAGAGGGTACATGGTAATGGGCGACTCGTTCAACACTTCCTTATTCAAACAAACTTTTCAAAGAGTCTTTACCAAAGACATGCATGGACAGTTTAAAATGGGTTTTGGTGGTACATTAGAAATAAAGGTAAGAAACAAAATTGATGTGTGATATGTTATCAAAAGAAATTTGCAGGCTTGATTGTAATTTTAAATTACATTAATCAAATTTAACATATGCTTTAAAAATAGTGATTATATTGTATTGAAATCCAGAGTTACAGATTTTGTTCATTAGAAAAATGTTATTAAATAAACAATGAAATATTACTTGAGCATTTCTGCATAATTATTAGAAAAGAAGATATTATATAGGTAAAATATGATTTAACTTTATGATTTCTTTATATAGAGTTTAACTTTTTTGTGTGCCTGATCTTTTTTTAGTTTCTTCATGCTAGTATCTTCAGTTTCCTTATGCTGGTGCTAGATTTTTTTAAACTCAGTGATTGGTATCTAACTTAAGAGAAACCTGTGCTATTCTACTTGTATAATCAATAATTATTTTATGGTTGGTAGTTTGTTGATAGTATTTTGTCATTCATTTCAAATTTGAATTTTAAAACCCCAAAGGCTTAGTGTTAGTTAAAGTGCATTACAAGCACATTGGTTTTGAATTTTCATTAAATATTTCTTATTAATTTTGTTATTTTATTGAATGCTTGTTAAATGTCCCCCATAGTAAGCTAAAAAATTATAGAGATTGCAAGGGATATCTAAAGAGCAAGTCCTTATAAAGAAACTTAGTTTTGATAGAAAGACAAAGTTAATGTGATAGAATGAAATAATGGTAGATTATGAAAGTGCTATAAAGATTTATGGACAAAAAAATGAATGTATCTGGGACACAATTTATCCTAAAAAAGAAATGATTTTATTATGATTACACTGGGTTTTGAAATATGGCAGAGTTTAAGTTAGTTGAGGAGAATGCATTTTAGTCAACCCCGTGTCAAGAGAGGCACAGAGGTGAGAATGAGCACAGTATGTTTGGGGAAACTGCCCAGTGAGAGTGAATGGTTTGTAAGGGAAGTAGTTTAATTGTGTGTGTTCATTGTGTGTTGGGTAGAATTCATCTGAGAATTGCATTCAGCCTTTGTCAGGAAAAAGAATCTCGATAAGAAAGTTGAATTAGTCTTTCTAATTTTTTTTTAGATATGTAAGTGATAGCTTAAGTTTTGATGTCATTGGAGACTGGAAAATAACCAGTCTTGGGTTTTCTGTGGTAGTGAAAACAGAAGAAGGTATCAAAGGTTTTGGGTTAGGACATAGGAATTTTGGGTATGGTAAGATATTGAGTTGAGGGTGAGTTACCAAATGGAGACCTCTTCTGGGCAGCTGGAAGTAGAGGATTAAAGTTAGGTCAAGGCTGGATTTTAAATTTGGGGGTTTACACAGAAGTGCTCACTGATTGATTATTTAAAAAATATTTTTATTTTAGAGAGAGAGGAAGGAAGGGAGGGGGAGAAAGAACAAGAATGAGATAGAGAGATGCATTCATTGGTTGATTCTTGTATGTGTCCTGACTGGGGATCGAACCTGCAACCTTGGCATAGCAGGACGATGCTCTAACCAATGAACTGCCCTGCCAGGGCCACTGATTGATTATTTTAATGTTAGTATTTTTTATTGACTTTTTAGTTTTAAATGTGGAAGAATATCTTTATTGTTATGTACTTATGGTTTAATGTGTGAGCTTATCTTTGAGCACATCAAAGTGTACTATGTTCTTATTTTGCAGACCTCAAGGGAAATAAAGATTTCAGGAGCTATTGGACCCTGTGTGTCTCTCAATTCTAAAGGACCCTGTGTGTCAGAAAATGTAAGTCACCTTTATTCTAAAAAAATAATATAGTTTAGTTCTCATGACAACCTACAGAGACCTGACAGGTTCAGCCTATAACATTCCTTTTAAAATTATTGTGTGGACTAAGTTTTTCAGTAGAATGTGGCTCAGCCTCCACTGGTATACCTGTTTGTGGCTGCTCTTTCTGAATACCCCTTTCCCCACCCACCCCTAAATTAAAACTTTGGCACTGCCACTAGTCTTCTATTTTTTATGTCTGAGTTACTCCTTGCCCCAGTGTACCTAAACAACAACAACAACAAAAACAACAAAACAAACTATGATTTGTAAATTTAGAGACTTCTGAAAATCAAAATTAATTCTGAAGTTATTTTGTTGGTAGAATTTACAACAAAGTATCCAAATTAGATTTGTTTTAATTCCTTTCTTATTATTCCATCTTGTTGAGGATGCACTTAAAATGGTAGAATTATGTTCTGTTGCTATAGAGCAGATGATGGGACCAATAACATAAAGTAGTTAATCATCTTAAAGTGACTGGGTTAAGAATTACTTTTAAGCAGCTCGCATGGTAGTTTATTTCTTAGAAATTTTCTTCAGTATGAGACTGCTTATATTACACAGTTGTGATCCAGAGAACTTGTGTTCATATGTGCATATATTGTGTGTTAAGTCAATATCTCTTTACACATACCAAATAGTTGGATAGAATAATGTAATGATTTCATTAAATGGCATATCCTTTAATGTCTGCAATACAGAGAACTTGCTCCAATATTTGTGTAGTTTACTTAGCAAAAATTTGAATCATTTTATAATTTTATTGTGTAAAATTGCTTATTTTCATGATATATTTTATGATTTTTAAAATGTTAAGTTTTAATATTCAATGAATTTGTGAGAAAACCTCTTTGTGGAAGTTTTATTCCCTCCTTTACACCTTGGTATATGTTATAGTACTAAATTATATTGTCTAACTTTCAAACATACTATGTTTCATTTTTACAGGAGATAGGAACAGGTGGCACTTGTCAATGGAAGATATGTGGACTTAGTCCCACTACAACCGTAGCTATATATTTTGAGGTTGTCAATCAGGTATGACTTTTTATGTTTGAACATTGAAATGTGTGTTTGAACAAGTACTTAATTTAGGCCATGAATATTTTGTATTTTTTCTTGCAATAGTAAACTATGATCCAAAGATTAGTCTGTTTTGGAGCTTTTGTTTGCTATTTTCTATTTTTTAAAGCTAAAAACTTCTTGATGAGAGGACATACTGTAATAGGAAGGGATGTCAGAGAAACCTACACATGCCCAACCTCGGGCAACCCAACTTAGTCTGTTTTTTTTTTTAGTATAAAATTGAAGCATACGTAAAATCTTCAGTTTTGTTACAGCTATGCATTTTTGTAATTTGGTATCTAGCTCCTTATTGTCACAAGGTATGTATAGGTAGTGATATAAATATCCGACAAGAGAGTTTTTTTCTTTTATTTAAAAAATATGGAACACTTCACAAATTTGTGTGTCATCCTTGCAGATGGGCCATGCTTATCTTCTTTGTATTTTTCCAGTTTTAGTATATGTGCTGCTGAAGTGAGCACAAGAAAGTTTAATATGTCAAAATCCATAGGAAAAAATTGGAAGGTAAAGATGCCAGTATTTGGAAAGAATTTTTTCCACTACAGAAGGAAATTATCGTATTAAAGATAATGTATAAATTACTGACGTATATACTAGTAGTTATTAAGCATAAAGTGAACTACAGACTGTTAATAATCAGCCTTCCTAAGACAGGTGCAGAAAATTTTTTTTCTAACAGTTAAAATTAGTGAAAAAGGTAGTAGCTCTTATTGACCAAAACAAATAAAACCAAAGCAAGAATATTATCAAAAGGCATGAAGAAAGTTTTCCTGTTGACTACTTGCTATTTTTTTCTGAGGATCATTACTATAATCATTACTCTCTTCTCATTAATAGTTTTCTGTTGGTCATGTGTTCATCATGTGATTATGTTCATAAATGTTCTGTTTTCATTTTACATAGGAGAGTAGGACTTAGCTTCTCTTTCCAATTACTGTTAGGCAAAATTGCCCCACACCTTTCCTTATCAATTAATTTCTTTACATTTCTTCCTTCATTTTATTTCACATCCTTCTGAGTTATGTACTACATGAAATTGATTTCCTAGTTGGACTCACTCCTCTTATTCTTAATCATTTACCCCCTTTCCCACATCCATTTTATTTAAATGTGGCATATTACAGTTTTTCTATCTGCACTGTAAAAAATGTCATTCTAATTGATATTAGAATGCATTTTATTAGTGCTAGGATATGCAGTCAATGACTGTATGACAACACCATAATAGATTTTGCTTAGTTTTTACTCCTTTACTTCTACACAGCATAATGCTCCGATTCCTCAAGGAGGGCGTGGCGCAATTCAGTTTGTGACTCAGTATCAGCATTCAAGTGGGCAGAGACGCATCCGAGTGACCACCATTGCGAGGAAGTAAGTTGTATTTGTTAGAGATTTAACTTATGTATCAGAACTATTCTGGATTGTGCTCCCAAACTGGGTTCTTACTTTGAATGACTAGAAAATGCACATTTGTGACTAATAGTATTTTATTTCTTTCTAGCCCAGTTTAGTTGCTAAAATATTCATTGTTAAAAACTGTAAAACAATTTAAAAATCTATTCCTAAGACACATTGTACAAAATATTCTTCTATTTACCTTATGCCCCTGAAAGGAAAAAAAGCTAACATTATCCTGTAATAGGCCATAACAATATATATGATGCATTATATACTTATATAATAACAGCACAATAATTAATTGCATTACTTTTCAATTAATAAAGTTCTTAGCTCCTTTTTTCATTATATATTTTTTCAAGTGTTAAGTCATTTAATTCATTTATAAAACCTTTATTTAGTATCTCCTTATAGATTGAGTACTTTGGGAGAGGGTGTGGAATGAAAAAGACTTGAATGTACTTGGTCTGCTATATGATGATGTGGGACAGACCAGTCTTCAAAATATCTGTGGTGAAGGGCCAGTTCCCTCCCACCCGACTCAGTCCTTTGGAGACTAATACTTTTATTAAACATGATACAACATATTAATAGAAAAATTAAAAAGCAATTCAAAATACAAGTCTCTTTTTTTTATTAAATTCATCAGACATACAATTATTTTGTTAAATCACTCAAAAGTTTATAATTACTCTCAGTTTTGTTTCTTATTTCATTGTGAATTGGCACTGGGTTTAAATACCACACTTCAGTTAGGACTGGTCAAGACCACAAAAGGGAAAGTCTCTTAACAGTTAATATTATAGGGTAGTGTTTCTGTGTATCATAGTTATGTCCTACCTTTGTTGAGATAGTTAGTTTCCTAAAGAGAATAATTAAGCACAGACTGAGATAATTCAAAGTTGTCAGTTATTTGGAAAATAATAAAAAAATCATTTGTTTATTTGAAACAAATTAAAAATAGAGGGAGAAAAATTTTGAAAATATTTACAAATATTACTGCCTGCATGCCCTTGGGATCACTTCTTACAGCTTTGAATTTTGTAAAAGTTGTCCACCTTTACAAGAAGTCTGTAAGTATTGCAGACTGGCATAAACTCAAGTACTTTAGAACTGGGGTCAGTTGAAGTATGCAGAAAGGCTGCCAGTGAAATAGTAAACAAACTGAAACTGTTGGTGGGTCTACCCAGATCAGTTTGATGGATTGGATTTATAGAAAATGTTAATTTAATAGATTACTGCTATTTTATACATAATACTAAATCACTTAGAGTAAAATTTTCACTTATTATAATTGGTCTTAGTTGGTGTATTAACAGGAGAAAAATGAATAATGATGATTTTATTTATTTTTTATTTTTATTTTTAAAAAATAAAAAAAGATTTTATTTATTTTCAGAGAAAGGTGAAGGGAAGGAGTGAGAGAGGCAGAGAAACATTAACGGGTTGCCTGTTGCATGTCCCCAACTTGGGACATGGCCCACAACCCACGTAATGTGCTCTGATTGACCTTTTGGTTCCCAGGCTGGTTCTCAATCCACTGAGCCACACCAGCTGAGGTTACATAATGATTTTAATTATGTAATTTTTATCAGTAGTAATTGAATGAAAGACCAATGAGGCTAAATAATGTTTCTAAACAAGGAATGGATTAACAATGAGATCAAGGAAGAAATGAAAAGATATCTTGAAACAAATGAAAATGACAGCAAAATAAACCCTATATCTGTGGGACATAGCAAAAGCAGTCCTCAGAGGGAAATTTATAGCATTATAGGCCTATCTCAAGAAATAAGAAAAAGCTTAAAATACACAATCTAACTTTACACTTAAAGGAACTTGAAAAAGAAAAACAAAACCCAGAGTGAGCAGAAGAGAGGAAATAATAAAGATCAGAACAGAAAAAAATGAAATAGAACCTAAAAAAGCAATACAAAAGATCAATGAAACCAAGAACGGGTTCTCTGAAAAGATAAACAAGATTGACAAACTTTTAAGCAGATTTAGTGAAACAAACAAACAAACAAACAAACAAAACAAGAGAGGACCGAAAAAAATAAAATCAGAAATAAAAGAAAAATGACAACTGACACCAAAGATAAACAAAGGAGAGTAAGTAGATATTACAAACAACTATATGTACAAATTGGACAATCTAGATGAAATAGATAAATTGCTAGGAACATACACTCTTCCAAAACTGAATCAGGAAGAATCAGAGAATCTGATAAGACAGATAACAACTAATGGAATTGAAGCAGTAATCCAAAAACTACAGGCAAACAAAAGCCCTGGACTAGATGGCTTCACAGGTGAATTTTACCAAACATTTTTTTTTAGCTCATATGTCTTTTTTTTAACAGAAGCTTTTTTGTTTTTTTTTTTTAAGATTTTATTTATTTATTTTTAGAGAGGGAAGGGAGAGAGAGAGAGTGAGAGAGAGAAACATCAATGTGCGGTTGCTGGGGGTCATGACCTGCAACCCAGGCATGTACCCTGACTGGGAATTGAACCTGCAACACTTTGGTTCACAGCCTGTGCTCAATCCACTGAGCTACGCCAGCCAGAGCCTGAATTTTACCAAACATTTAAAGAAGAACTATAAAGGGGTTAAATGGTAATGAAAAAAATTACAGTACAGATTAAATTAAAAGATAAAACAGCCTAGAGATGTGAAAAAATATAAAGAACTAACTCCTGTCCTTCTCAAACTATTCCAAATATTCAAGAAGAGGGAAGACTCCAAACTCTTTTTACAAGGCTAGTATGGTCCTAATTTCAAAGCCAGGTAAAGACACAAAGAAAGAAAATTACAGGCCATATCTCTGATGAACATACATGCTAAAATACCAAAAAATATATTGCCAATCCAGCTCCAGCAATATGTTAGAAGATCATATAGCACGATCAAGTGGGATTCATCCCAGGGGTGCAAGGATGGTACAATATTCACAAATCAATAAACATAATATACCACGTAAAAAGTGAAGGCCAAAAATCACAAGATCATATCAATTGATGCTGAAAAAACATTTGATAAAATCCAGCACCCTGTTATGATAAAAACAACAGCAAAGTAGGAATAGAGGGAGCATACCTCAACATAATAAAGGCCACATATGGGAAACCTATAGCCAACATCACACTCAACAGGCAAAAACTAAAAGCTTTCTCTTTAAGATCGGAAACAAGACAAGGGTGCCTGCATTCACTTCTCTTATTCAACATAATACTGGAACTTCTACCCAAAGTGATCAGAAAAGAAAAAGAAATAAAAGGCATCCAAATGGGAAAGGAGGAAGTAAACTGTCACTATTGCAGACAATATGATAGTGTGCATTGAAAACCCTATAGCTGGGGTGTCAGACCTTTTGCAGTTGCCTTCAAAGGGCCAAATGTAGTTTTAGGACTGTATAAATGTAACTACACCTTAACTAGGGGCAAGGAACTTGTCGCTGCTGCTGGGTAGAAACAAGGTGCTAGGCCAGATAAAACAAGATGGAGGGCTGGATTTGGTCTGTGGGTGTTCTGTCCACCTGTGTCCTGTAGTCTCCAATAAAAAATTACTTGACCTAATAAGTGAATTTGATAAAGTTGATATTCAGAAATCAAAGGCATTTTTCTATACCAACAATAAAATATCAGAAACAGAAATCAGGAAAAAAAATCCCATTACTATAGCAACAAGAAAAATAAAGTACCTAGGAATAAATTTAACCAAGGATGTAAAAGATCTATACTTAGAAAACTATAGAACACTGAAGAAAGAAATTGAGGAAGATACAAATAAATGGAAGCCTATACCTTGTTCATGCATTGGAAGAATTAACATCATTAAAATGTCTATGTTACCCAAAGCAATCTACAGATTCAGTGCAATTCCTATTAAAACAGCAATGGCATATTTCACAGAACTAGAACAAATATTTGAAAAATTTATATGGAACCAAAAAATACCCCAAATAGCCTCAGCAATCTTGAGAAAGAAGAACAAAGTAGGAGGGATCACAGTACCTGATATCAAACTATGCTACAAGACTGTATAATCAAAACATCTGGTACT